TCGTTGATGATAAATAACATAGTTATGTATAATATATTACATTTCTGACTGTATATCCCTGTAATTATTACACACTGTAGCTTTAACCTTTTTTTCATTAAAACTACAAGTATTCACCTCAGCCTCTCTGCCTTTGCATTTGGGTCCTCCAAACCTCAACCAAGATGTGACATATCAATCATGCATTATTACCTAAGAAGCAAAGAAGCAACTATACAGCTTTTAAAGTCGTTATAGTCATGCCAAAGAAATCTGAGTAATGATCTCAACTAATATTGTAATTCTGAACTCCTAAAAAAAGTTTATGACAATTAATAAATTATACACCTCAAATAATAAAATTATATTAGTTATTATTTGCATACCAGGACTTCACTGGTCCTTTAAGCGGGGAACTTCTTGGTGGAACGGGTAAGTATGAGGTCCCTGCCAAGTGCTGCCGTCTCTCAGATAGGAGGTCCATTTCTACTGCAGCTGACGCTGTTAGTGGGGCCAAACTTTTTGGATCAAAATGTTGTGGCTTGGACTGAGAAAGACAAAATCTGCGTGCACGAATCCCTGGCAACCTCATGTTAGCAGGAGCTGGAGCGGCATGAAGAGGTGGAGACGGAGAAAAAGGGATGTCTGGACACAGGGACTGTCGAGCTATATTGGGGAAAAAGGTTTCTTGTTGATGTATGTCTGCCGACAATGAGAAACAGAAAACCTCCTTAGCTTAAATACTCATGACATGTAGACATTTAAAACTTAGAGAACACAACTATTTTATACATTCAGTACTCACCTGGGGAAAGAGACTGAAATGAAGAGTCCGGTGAGCCAGTATCTAAACTAGCACAAACTTCATCTTCCTCTTGTTCTTCATCACTAAACCTGCTCTTCATACAACCAAATCCTTCCTCCTCTTCTTCCTCTCCCTCTATATCTGTCTCTTCTTTACCAGAATGGTGAATAGTAAGGATCTGTGGTGATCGCTCTTTCTCTATAATGTCTAGACGTCTGGAAAAACAATTTAGAAAGATACAGCAGTGGTTCCTAAACCTTTCTCATTTGCAAAATAACACAATCCATGAGCAGAGTTACCAAGGGTTGAGGAATACAATAGGGCTGTTGTGTGATCTAATAAGGAACCTCATAGTGTTGATAAAAATGCCAAATATTTAGAGGGCAGATAAGTCCAGTTCTGAAACTCTGCCTTTTTTTTAAATGTCTCCTTGAAACTCCCATAATCCCCTCTGGCCTTTTCAATGCCTTTTAAAAACTAAACAGCTACTGTTATGAGACTTCATCCAAAAGGATGAATATCTTATCGAAATGCAAAACATCAGTTTCTACCACTTGTAATACAGCAACCCTCAGTTCGCTATATATATTATTTAGAGAGTGTTTGATATGACCTTTGCTGAATTCTTGTCTGTTGTTTCTTAGAGGGTACAACAAGGAAACGCTTTATAAGATTGGATCTTACAGACAGAAAGATATCTTATCCAGTTTTGTTTTGAAATGGTCTCTTCCTGAATTGCAAACAACTGGATTTTCAAAATGTCGGCTTTCTAATCTGACTTGGCACACTTTCCTAAATTCCTCTTGTTGGATTGATCAGTTCCTAATAGGGCTGCGACTAACAATAATTTTGCAAATGGATTAATCTTTCGACTGTTTTCCGACTAATCGATTAATAATCAGATTGCAAAAGGTTCCTTAAAGGAGATTTTTTAAGAAATGAAATCAGTTGAAACTAAAATGTTTCTACTTGAGGAGTTCTGGATAGAAAAAAAAAATAATCTTAAATACTAAATTTTTATATATTTCTTTAAAATGGTGGTATAATTACTGCTCTAAGTGGGTTGCTCTGTCATTTAAAGGCATGGTTTGGAGTCTCTACGCTCCAGTTAAAGATTCATTGATTACCGAATTAGTTGACGATTATTTAAATAATCGATTAATCATGATTAATCCAATTAATTGTTTCAGCCCTAGTTCCTAATAAAATCAAAAGAGGACAATGTTAATAATATGATTCTAAAAAATTAACATCTTTAAAACTGTCTATAAACCTCATTCCTTTTTGTAATGTATGCTGCTTTAAAATTGCTCCCAGGTTTAGGATATAAGGATGCTTAGACTGGTGTGATAAATAATAGTCTACATTCATTCAACAAATAAGACTCTTTTTACATAACGATAATATTATCAGCTGCTAAAAGTAGTTATACTGTCATTAAAAAAAAAGATTTAAAAAATTAAAACTTATCTGCTTACAGGCTTCCGTAGCCCTTTACCTACCCCACAGATGCATATGGACTCGCTATCCTTTGGATGAGGGTTACACAAACAGCTAAAGGATTCAGCCACAATAAAAAACAAAAACAAAAAAAACATTTATACATAAAAGTAATGAAGTTAGACATCAGTTGTTACTTGCTGTACTGTTCCTTCCAGGCCCTCAGCTCTGCAAACACATTAACACGGTCTTCAGAACTGGGCTCCTCTAGGTCATACGTGTGTTCTGGGACATGGATGGGGGGGCCACAAGGGGTCAGAGATGACCTGGTTGGTGCCGTCTATGAAACAGAAGAAGGCTTTAACAATCATTTACTTTACTGTGTGTTTACTTTCTTCGTCTTCCTTCATATCGGCTGCTTCTAGTGAGACCAACAAATAGCCTCTGTTAACAGATAGGAGGCAGACAGCCACCATTGGAAACTCATGAAGCTTAACATCAATCTCTACTGACAATAAAGGCTTTTCTGTATTAAAACAGCAATGATTTAACTGTGTATTCTTTATACCAGTGATTGAATATGATTTCACTAGTCTAATAGACATGTATTACCCTTTACCTTAAGCTTTTGTCTCCTTGCACGAACAGCCCGCACAGGATTTCCACAAAACAGAATGTTGCCTGTTCCTTTACAAATCAGTAAATGAGAGAGACAGCAACAAATTAAAAATGACATCCTGTTAAATGATAAACATAAAGCCTCTGGGTGGCACTGTTAGGTAAGGATGACTGCTGCTGCCATCCTTCACTGCCTGGGATGTTTAGACAAGATGAAAAAAAAAAAAAAGTATGACAGATGATTACACATGACAGGAATAACCAAATCAGTTCCACACCATGGGTAAGGGTGCTGGTATCTGCTTCCACTGATGGTAGGTCAGAGTCTGAAGAGCCTGGTCTTGATCCAAAAGGGGAAAGAACTGTGTGTCTGGTCGCCGACATGGTTCTGGTGCTTGCAGATGAAACAGGTTTAGCACCTACAAATCCAGAAGTGAATTGAATCAAATCTCATGTCAATCAAATGTTGTTGGTTTTTTTTATAGAAAAATATGTTGTTGTTTTTTTTTTATAGAAAGATATGTAGTTGTTTTTTTTTTACCAGGAGATTCAAAGAACTTGGAATCTTGCATAGAAATTCTGAGAATTTCCCAGTGTTCCCCTGTGGTGCTACAGCAGGTCACCCTGTCCTCCTCCAACTTCACATCATCAAGGTAACGCAACTGAGGGACCAACTCCCTCACTGCTGCTCTGTAATTATACTCTTCAACCTAAACAGGAGAGAAAACAAGGACAGAGAGAGGTGGAGTAAACATACTTCTGTGTTTTAACTCCAACTTAATGAGTCTGAAAACAATACAAGAAGGATGTAGTTCAATGATGCAAAGTGTGTTGGAAAGGAGTTCCGAAGGATTTGATTCTACTATGTAACCCCTAAATAAAATTCTTCAAGTATTACCGATTAGTATAGGCTCTGTGTTGGGACAGGCCTCATTCCTTGGTGCTTAGGGTTAAATTCCCATCGTATATACTCTTACTGCATGTATTCCCCTTAGTCTCTTTCTCAACCCCCGTTTTCTCTCAGCTGACTTTCAGAAAAAGGCCACTAATACTAAAAATCCCTAAGTTAAAAAAATGGAACTTGTCCACTTGTGTGTATTTGCTTTATTAATAGAAGATAAATGATAATGATGACAAATCGCTTAATAAATAACTGTATATCTGTTAGGACTCCAGTCTGTGTGGTCTGTGTTTTTGTGTGTTTGTCTTCCTTCCTCCACCAGGCAGCGCCTGGTTCTGATTCTCCTCCCCACTCACCTGCAAGGGGTTACCTCGTTAACAGAGTGTTCTTAAGCTGCTGACTGCCACTACCTCGACACCAGAGTGTTTGCCAGTTTTGGGTACTCTAGCCAAGCTGAGTTTTGCTGAATCAAACTGAGTTTTTGTCAACCTGAGTCTTAACATTGTTTTTTGTCTTTGCCTCTCGGCAGGAAATCATCCTGCAAACTGGATTTTTTTCGGACCTTCTCTCCCTGGAAGGATCTACTGAGCTTCAAACTGAGCTGAGGAAACAAGCCGGAGGTTTGGATCCACTTTTCCTCGAGGAAACGTTTGAGCTTCACACTGAGCAAGGGATTCATCTGTACAACAGTTTGTTTAAGTACCGCAGGGAATCTGAGTGGCAGTCAGTCGTTCTCTGTTCATCTACTAGCAACCGCATTCTGGGTAACCCTGTTCTGCCCTCCACCGTATGAGACAAACACCGAAACACATTCCTCACTTACGGGAGTCTAAGAGTCAACTTAATCTTAGGAAACGTGAGTCTGCCAACTATTTCTCCTCTTCAAGTTCGAGAATCAATTCTCCCACTGAACCTGAACTAACCTCAGTGTCTTCCCCTCACCTGTCAGTTCTGGTTGAGCGGTGTTCAGAGCAACACTGGAATCTCCACCAAACTTCTCGATAAAGCTGTTAAACTTTTTCCCTTGTCTCTCTGGACTGGTTAATCTGCATGTGGGTCCGAGGTCTTGATAAAATCATGGCAATATCATAGAAATCCTCAGAGGTTTCTCAGTGATTATTAGTGAGCAAACAGCACCAAAGTTTACTGGAAGGTTGAGTTATAACAGAATATGCCATGTATTGGATGTGGCACTAAGCTCTATTTAATCAGGCTTTTTTTTAGCAAAATTTTTTTCATTTGTTCAAAAATGTGTATTTATTACAATTATATTTTTTTCCTTATTTATATCTTTTTTTATTTATTGGCATCTGAAAAAGCTCTTCCTTATTTTATTTCATTTTATCTTAGAATGACACAACTGCAAAGACATAGCCATCCCCCAAAACTGACAGCAGGGCAGGTTCAGCATTAATCAGAGAAGCAACCAAGAGTCTCAAAGGAACTGAGGGGATCTATTCTTCCGTAGAAGAAACAATTAGGTGTCACCTCCACAAATACGGCTGTTATGTATGAGTGGAGAGAACAAAGCCTTTGTTGAAAGATAGTCATTGGATATTCTGCTTCTAGGTTGCATCACGCCATGCAGGAGACACAGCAAACAAACTCCATTGAGCGACACGGTGGTGGTAATGTAGTGCAAAAACTATCCTTTATTCTAAGGAGGGGAAAAGGTTGTAGTATGACTTTGTGTTAATCTGTTATCTGAAATCCTAGGAAAGACGGACAGACAGAGTTTAAGGCATTTTTATTTACTCAGTCATAACTAATCAATTAGAATGCATCTTCAATTTATGCCTCCTTTGTCAGATTTAATATGTTTTTTTGAAAATAACAAACATTTAAGCAGCTACTAATCATGCTCCTCAATAAACCTGCATTCCTGTATACGTTATTTAAGGGTTGATGTGAAATTGGGGCTTTTTAAGTACCGTATGTTGTACTAGTTATCTCTATTTCCAAGTCCCTTATCATGACTAGTCTAAAACAATATCTGATTCTAAAACTAAGTTCCAAATGAAGTTCTTACAAGAGGCAGGTGATAAAAAGGACTCGATAACTATTTGCCAATAAGTAATTAAACCAGGACTGGTCACTGCAGGCTTTTTCTAAATCCCACGAATGCAGTGAATGAAAACGAGAGAGACCTGGAGGGATGAAACCAAGGAAAAGAGGGAAGAAAAAGACTGTCTGACAGAAAGGAAGTGAGTGGATGTGTGCCTCTTTGTGTGATGGAAAGAGAGACAGCAAGAGAAGTGTTGGTTTGCGGGGAGGGAAAGCAAACCCAAGAACTCCTCAATTACTACAAAGCACATGCCTAATGCATATTCAGCTCAGCATCTCTACTCATTGCCCCAGTTTCTTAATTAATGCTCTGCTGGTGGGTGTAAATAAACACATTCAGAGAGGTCCAAAGAACTCACAGCTAAAGGCAGCTCAGTATCATTCATCCAGGAAAAATTAGAAAGCCATAGAAAGTCGATATTGTTTTTTTTTTCTCTGAGATGTTGCTCCATACTGTAAACCTGATGTATACCATGATGCAACCTGAACCTAACTGTCAGGTTTTAAGTCATGATATATTTTTGTGCGGCAAAATCGGATCGCCGCAAACACCTCTATGTGCCAGCAAACCGACAGCCTGCGAGCAGAGGAGACACTGCTGGATGATCACAGGCACGAGCTGCATTTGCAAGCAGGCTTTTACAACACCTACTGAATACAACACTTCCTGTTTAGGAGCTCTGCCCAACTCCTTGCACAGGACTTATTCAACATCAACTGTTTACAGATTTCTTTCAGATTTGCAAGACTACTGCCTGTTTCAGAGTTACACCCTTTGGAGAAAATTTGCCTTGAGAAACCTTTAAATATAGCAAACCTACACAGGGAATATTTTCCATTGACTATGTATGTATTAAAGCATCTACTATCTTTTACTGATCCATCCCATTAAAGAAGCAAATCAACAATACAGAGGAGATTGACAAAATAGGACAGAGCTTTTCATAAAGGAAGATGCAAACATAGATATAATCTGATGGATTTGATTTGTTTTCAACCTGTTTTGGGCTTTGATAAAAGCCTAATTTAATTTTCATGCAAATAGAAACAAGAGAAATCCCCTACCTGAAGGGAAGTAGGGTTAGGGCGTACACACACAGGGTTCCCCTCCAGCGAGAGAGAATGGAGATTGGGACACAAACCCAGATAATGAATCTGGATGAGGTCGTCCACACGGTTCCCTTCCAAATCTAACAGCTGCAGGTTCTCCATCATGGCAACCTGGCTTAGGTCGGACACATGGTTAAAGGCAAGATAGAGCTCCTGAAAACGGGACCAAGCACAAAAAAACAGTTCAGTGTTTAAGGTCAAAGAAAAGAGAAACAAAACAGAAACATCAAGTAAATGGAATACAACATGGTAAGCAAGTAAAAGTAAAAGTATTCACCGCCCAGAAACCTTTTCAACTTTTTATTAAATTCAAAGTTTCTACTAAATTAATTACAGTTTTCTTTTCTTGCGATATACAGGAGCAAATGGATGAATAATTGCGAAGTTAAAGAAAAATGGATTTAATTTTCTTCTGCAAATAAAAAATCCAAAACCATTCTATGTGTTTGTATTTATCCCTTCAGAGTCAATACTTTGAAAAACCATAATTTCACAATGATTACAGGAGATGCTCTTTTGGGAGTCTCCTACCTGTTTTGTATGTCTAAAGAGTGAAACCCTTTACAATACCTATAGCTGAGTCAAATAGCATTAATCTTTTCTCATTTTCTTAAAAAGATTTCAGGCTTTACATGGATCATCTTTATCATCTAAACAGTTCTTTTCTAGCCAAGATTATGCCTTCAAAGATGTTGGCCAGTAAGAAGGTACTTCTAAGTCTTTTGCAGTCTCTAACAGTTTTTCCTCAATGATTAAAGCTGTGTTTAGCTCCTCCCGTCTTCCTGACAGCTGTGACCAGGTTCCCCGTCCCATCATAAGAAAAGCATCGCCACAGCATAATGCTACCACCACCATGTCTTACTGTGGGAAAATTGTGTCCAAGGTGGAGTAGCATGGCCCCTAAAAGGCTTAGAGAATAGATAAAATGGAAAATCCCTTTATTGTCCCATAATCTGAAATTTTTGGTATTAAAGCAGCAAAAGATTATAGCAAAGGTGGTCAAACAAATATGGACCTTAAAAAGTGTATGAAAATTGCAGAATAAGTTACAGAGTTAAAAATAAATAAAATACAGTGCTGTACAGTGTTTTTACAATATAAATACTTTGCATCTTGAGAATAAATAATCAATATACAGCTATGGACATTTCTACAACAATGGAGATGTGAAAGTAGCAGCACTAGAGAAATGCAAAATGACAGCAGCATGTTATTCAACTGACTAGGACTGACTAAGAAATTGTGCAAAAATCAGCATGAACGTAACAACTTATTGAGGTTTTTGGTAACAGTGATGGTTATAGATTCTTACAGTTGCTGGGGGAAGGATCTGTGATAATGCTCTCTGGTGCATTTAGGGAGCAGCAGTCTGCCACTGAAGGAGCTTTCCAGTACAGAAATAGCTTCATGCATGGGGTGGGAGAAATTATCCAACAGAGATTTTAGTTAGGATCCTTTTATTTCCCACCTTCTGCACTGAGTCCAGGGGGCATGTCAAACTTCCGTAAAAAGTATATTTTTTGCATATATTTTTTGTGTATATTTATAATTTGTCCAGGTGCTTCTCTAATTCACTCTAATTAATTATCTGCTTGTACAGCCTGTCAGTGAAGTTGACATGATTGTTAACAGATGCACAGGTAAGGAAATGCTGCAAGTGAGCAGAGGTGGCATTCTTCAACACCAGAGTTTAACTGTGCCACTAAAGTGTTAAGTTTAACAGATACGTGAGGCATCTCTACCTTTCCATACTAAGAGAAAATGTCTCAGTTCTCTGAATATGTAGCAGCCCCTTCATGCAAGGTGATGGGTTGTGCGTTGATTTTGTAAGGTCGTTAAAGCTTCACCAAGATTTTTTTCTCTAACTCGGCTAGGTTGTTCCTGAGGCTTCACAATGCTTTTCTTTTATTTTCAAAAACATCTGAGACCCTCGGGGAGCAGCTGTGTTTATATTTCATTACAATGAATTACTCACAGAAGGATTCCGTTTAATAGTTAGGTCATTTCTGAAGGCTGCTGGTTGCACTGGATTTTATTTAGGGGTATCAAGGAGGTCAATAAAAATTCATGCCACAATATATATGTTTTTTATTAAAATAATATTGAAAACCATCTAATATGTTTTCACTAGGTATGTAAGTTATTAATCAATGCATATATCTACAGTTGATGGACTTAATAGCTGACTAGTGATTCATTGTTAAGTGTCCATTTTCTTAAAACAACAGATTTTTCACACTGTAAATAGGGTCTCTCCATGACATAAAGGGAGTTACATTTTTTTTACAACAGCCTAAATTTAAAACAAGAGCTGTATTATATACTTAGTTTACCTAATTAGGCATAAAACATGTTTGTCAAATGCAACAAACTGGAACCTATTGAATTATAGGAAATATGTGAAACACTAAGAATAGAGATGTTAAACTATTGCCTAAAGACTGGGCATGTCCCTCTGACATATTATCAGATTCAGAGAAGTGGAGAAGATGGATGGAACAATATTACTAGTAAGTCTATCATTTGTTTATGTAATCCCTACCATTTCATGTATTTGGACTTTTTTAATCGCTTTTGTCACATCAGCATAAAAAAATTGTCTTTTTTTGTTGTATGGGTATCAGTGAGAAATATTTCCTGGAGTATAAATACTTTTTCAAGGCTTTGTAGTAACAAGGATCAATTAAGACTGCAAGAATATTCTTTTTTATTTATTTATTCCAGCTTTTTATTGTAATTACAGTATCACAAGTACAGAGCAATGAAATGAACTCTCTGCATTTAACCCATCCCTTTGGGGAGCAGTGGGCTGCCATGGTGCGGAGCCCGGTAAGCAGTGTGGGGGTGAAGGATCTTTGCTCAGGGACCCAGAGTGCCGGCTGTGGGGGTGGAGCTCGAAGACCTCAGGATTCCAAGCTCTATGCCCTAACCACTAGGCCGTCACTCCCCTTATTCTATCTCTGCACTTAACCCATACAGTTGGGGAGCAGTGGGCTGCCATTGTGCTCGCCTGGAGAGCAGAGTGGGGTTAAGGGTCTTGCTCAGGAACCCAGAATGCCGGCTGTGGGGATTGAACCGGGCACTTGCAACCTTCTTCGAGCACAAGTGCACTAGGCCAGTAAAATATATTAACATAACTGAGATGGAAATAAATCCCTTGCCTGTTTCTAGTAATATTACCTTTGAATTAACTTTAAAAGGCAAATATCTTAAAGTTTAATTAGATACATTTATAGATAGATATAGATACATACATAGCTTGTTACCTTAAGAGAAGAAAAAGTGAAAATGCCACTTAAGTCCTGAAGGCAGCAGCGGTTCATCCATAGCACCTGCAGGTGGGACAGGGTGGTTCCCAGGTCTCTAGAGAGACAGAGCAGCACAAACTGGGTGAAGAGACAGGAAAATGAGTTATCAGTACTGTTAATCATGAGAAATGCAGGCTAAGCTTTATTTTAGAACCTCCAAATATACCCTTGTTGGACATTTCCAAAGATATCAGGTTTTTTATGTGCATCTTACCCTGGATTGTGCGTTATCTAGCACTCAGCAGGAAAGGCTATCAGAGGCAGTGGTGTCTGAATGGCTCTGCACTACAGATCTCAAAACACAAACTGTTTTTCTGGTCGGTTCCTCTTGTTCATCTTGCAGCATTTTTTTTATTCAAATTGCAACAGAAGCCTTTTAATGGCCCATAGGGGATGATATTTTCTGTCTTCTTTTATTGAGTGTGTAAATGAATACATTTGAAACATGATACCTAACAATAGCACCTCTTTTTGTCATCATGAAACAGGTGGTGAAGCTCAGCTTGAAAACTGTATAGTTTTCAAGTTGCAATGTCCATTTTCAAAGCAAAATATATGTGTGTGTATATGTATACAGGTGCTGGTCATAAAATTAGAATATCATGAAAAAGTAGATTGATTTCAGTAATTCCATTTAAAAAGTGAAACTTGTATATTATATTCATACATTACATACAAACTCATATATTTCAGATGTTTATTTTGTTTAATTTTGATGATTACAAATGACAACAAATGAAAATCTCAAATTCATCATATCAGAAAATTAGAATATTACTGAAGACCAATAAAAACAAAGGATTTATAGAAATGTTGGCCAACTGAAAAGTATGAACATGAAAAGTATGAGCATGTACAGCACTCAGTATTTAGTTGGGCCTCCTTTGGCCTGTATTACTGCAGCAATGTGGCGTGGCATGGAGTCGATCAGTCTGTGGCACTGCTCAGGTGTTATGATAGCCCAGGTTGCTCTAATAGTGGCTTTTAGCTCTTCTGAATTGTTGGGTCTGGTGTATTGCATCTTCTTCTTCACAATACCCCATAGATTTTCTATGGGGTTAAGGTCAGGAGAGTTTGCTGGCCAATTAAGAACAGGGATACCATGGTCCTTCAACCAGGTACTGGTAGCTTTGGCACTGTGTGCAGGTGCCAAGTCCTGTTGGAAAATGAAATCTGCATCTCCAAAAAGTTGGTCAGCTGCAGGAAGCATGAAGTGCTCTAAAACTTCCTGGTATGTGGCTGCGTTGACCCTGGACCTCAGAAAACACAATGGACCAACACCAGCAGATGACATGGCACCCCAAACCATCACTGACTGTGGAAACTTTACACTGGACTTCAAGCAACGTGGATGAAGTGCCTCTCTTCTTTTCCTCCAGACTCTGGGACCTTGATTTCCAAAGGAAATGCAAAATTTACTTTCATCAGAGAACATGACTTTGGACCACTCACCAGCAGTCCAGTCCTGTTTCTCTTTAGCCCAGGCAAGACGCTTCTGACGCTGTCTGTGGTTCAAGAGTGGCTTGACACAAGGAATGCGACAGCAGAAACCCATGTCTTTCATACGTCTGTGTGTGGTGGTTCTTGAAGCACTCACTCCAGCTGCAGTCCACTCTTTGTGAATCTCCCCCACATTTTTGAATGGGTTTTGTTTCACAATCCTCTCCAGGGTGCGGTTATCTCTCTTGCTTGTACACTTTTTTCGACCACATCTTTTCCTTCCCTTCGCCTCTCTATTAATGTGCTTGGACACTGAGCTCTGTGAACAGCCAGCCTCTTTAGCGATGACCTTTTGTGTCTTGCCCTCCTTGTGCAAGGTGTCGATGGTCGTCTTTTGGACAACTGTCAAGTCAGCAGTCTTCCCCATGATTGTGTAGCCTATAGAACTAGACTGAAAGACCATTTAAAGGCTTTTGCAGGTGGTTTGAGTTAATTAGCTGATTAGAGTGTGGCACCAGGGGCCATCAATTTTGAACCTTTTCACAATATTCTAATTTTCTGATATGATGAATTTGAGATTTTCATTTGTTGTCATTTGTAATCATCAAAATTAAACAAAATAAACATCTGAAATATATGAGTTTGTATGTAATGTATGAATATAATATACAAGTTTCACTTTTTAAATGGAATTACTGAAATCAATCTACTTTTTCATGATATTCTAATTTTATGACCAGCACCTGTATATACACATACATATCGATGAACAGCAGCCTTTTAAAATCACCCTCTGAGTCAGAGTGCCATTCCCCACAGGACATAGTTGTTTAAGGGTAAGACATAAATGAGAAAAAGTCAAGCAGCAAGTTTCACTTTTGATTTGAGGAATAAAAAGACAATATCTGGGGGTTTTTTAGCACCTACCTCAGTGATGTGATCAAACTGTTGTTCATTTTCAGCATCTCTAATCTGGGCAAGTAAACACCTACAATAAAAATAAGACAAATCATGTTTCTCCCACTTATGATTATTTATTTGTGTTTCAATGTTGAACATCTCCTTCACCTCTTAGTTAATTTCTTTAAATGTTGATTCCCCATTGCCTAAAAGGAAGCTTGACTTAAACACGTCACACTAGTTTACTGTACATGTGGTTCTCTTTTGACCAAACAGTGAGATCATGCACGAACAAGTTCAGAACTTGCTGACATACTGTATCTCTGTGGTGCTCTATCTGCACCAATACACACAAAGACACTACGGAGGGTCATTAACACTGTCCAGAAGACATGCTTAAGCCAGGACCTCCGTAGTATTTTCAGGAGGGCATGCTGAATTCTGAGAAACAGCACAATTCCAGGACATTGTGTGCTTCAGCTGCTGCTCTCTGGCAGGTGTTTAAGGGAGCTTGAAGCACAGACAAATAAACTGAAGGATGTCTTTTTTTGTCTTACTTTATGGCCACAGAGCTGTTAAATGGAAACAATAAACACTATTATGCATCGTTTCAGTCGGTTTTAGGTGCACATGCAATGCCTTTTCTCATTTCTTACATAGTATAAGTGCAATGCTTCTATTTATATGCTGTATGTCTCTGTCTATAGCCCTGTATGTTTCCCCCTAATTTGTATATAATGATTCGTTTACATTATATACAAGTTTTCACCATGGAGAAAACTGTTCCCTATTTTTCATTGCCTACACTTTACTGTAGTCTTCCTTTAGCTCTCTACTGTGCAGATATTTTTATATCTAAGGCAAACATATTCCAGGACATTGCAATGTTTTTCTTTTTTTTTTTTTTGTTGCTTTTTTTGGCACGATATACTCTCTTTTTATATTATCTGCTGTATTTTTATCTTTAATGCCATCTTGCTTTAACTCTTTGTACTCTATATAAGCTACTGGAACCAGAATTTCCTTGAAGGAGTAATCCCAAGGGATAAATAAAGTTGAGGCTAAGTCTTTAAAAGTGCTATACGTTTGAATAAGACCAATAATAAGGCTTGAATGTAAGGTATATCTCACCAATGTCCCCCAGCGTATTTTCTTGGGTGTTTAGGCAGAGTTCCAGATATTTCACACAAGAGAGGTCACTAGTTCCGCACAACTGTTCCTGTAGAAGAAACACATTTGTTGGCATCTATGTTACCATGGGTGTGTTGTAACAATAGGTTGTCTGCCGATCAACCGTGGCGGACTTTTGGATAGATCTTACTGATTTGTTCTAAATAGCTAACAAAGATGTATATTTTCTAAACGCAGAACATGTGATGGCTGTTGATGAACATTTAATTAGATAATAACAATGTACAACGTAGGAATGAGTTTAACAAAATCAGTAATCACATTTGTATTTTTGCAGTAAATTTATCCAAGCTATGAAAAAAAAACACCTAAACAAACATGTATTGCAAAAACATAAAAGAAGAAGGTAAAGCATCTTGAAAAAAACGGAGAAAAAAAAGAGATCATTTATAATAACAATGGTTTTTGGTCAGAATCTGCAAAAAATTTTAAAGCAGTAATGCTCTTCACTGTAAAAACACAGCAAATCGAATTAATATAGATGTGTTACATTATTTATGATCTCATTTACTTTCAGGTTAGAGGAAAAACTTATATAAGGATCCAAAATTTTCAGTTAAAAAAAAAATCAGAAATGTGTCAACATACCAATCTTTCTGGTGAAAGGTAAGCTTCCAGTGCATTGCTTGGGTCTATGTTTGGTTTGGGGGTTGGAGTAGGATTGATGCTCTCTGAACCGCTAGGCTCAGTCACCCGAACCCGCGCTGGACCAGGCCGGACACCCTGGCCCACAGATTCATGGCTCACGCTCATGTTTTTTCCACGGCTGTCTAAAATAAGCAATAAAAAACAGTAACAAAGCCATTAATGCGACAGATTCTCTAACACAACCCGATTACAAAGTAGTTGGCTGTAAACAAATAATACAAAGTAAAGAGTTTCACCTGAAGGAAGGGATAGTCCTGTCAATACATTTTAGCAGCCTTACAGGCAGCAAAAGTTTACTTGGCAACAGGGTCAACTTCCTGGAAACGGACCCATTTCACCCTGGGATATGTAGTGCTGGGAAGCAGTAGGCTAGCTTCAGTCGGACAAACAAAGATATCCGCTGCTATTAAGTAAAAGTGATGTCATATGTTAAAGCATAGTACGCTGTTGATATACGACGTGTATATAACCTCTTCTAATGACTGCTAATATGTGGCAGTGTTAACAAGTTATCATTTAGAGTGTTTGTGTTACAAAACACATTATATGTTCTTTTAAGGACAAAAACATTCTTTTGCTACTCAGTTCTAATGAAAACGTGTCCTTTGGAAATCGTTGTCCTTTAAGCTTAAATGTTTGTTTTTCAAAAGAATACGTTTTTAAGATATTTGGGCGTCTTAGTAGATGAGTCGTCATATTTCCGACTGCACATGAACACAGCAGTAACAGACATAGCAGCCGGGGCGGTTCTATGGTGGACGGAGCTGGGCGTGGGCTGTGTCCTCCTCATCGCCTCTGCTCCACTCTCTCCCCGTGGAAGCACATTGTTCTACGCGGGCTCATAATACTAAGAACCGGTGATTCTTTTTCCGCCTGTTAGCTAGTGAAAAATTAACAAACTATTAGAAATTAGAGGATACTGCTAACCAGAAGAAACGTTGGGACAGATCTCAGGATTTTTTTCCTTTTTTTTTTTCCATCTGACTGTGGCAACGAAATAAAGATTTCTCTCTTCCTCTGCGGCTGACGAATCGTAGCATTTGTCGGTAATTAGTCCTCTTCTTGTGAGTATGCACTTTGCATTCCTTTTTTATAAATGTGTTTAAATTATTATTTTTTTCTTCCTTCCTGGTGTGTGTCGTCTTTTGTACGCATTTGGTGTTTTGCACGCCGCAGGAGATTGCGGTCCATAGTTAAAAACGTGTTAGCCAGCTATCATAACATTTTTCTTCTCACCCACGGACAATTAAATCCTTTTTCCACACAGCTTTGTAACTGCATTTTACGTTTATCCTCGAGGGAATAAATAGATGCCGGAGGCTGTGTCGAATGTTGCTAAACAGTTGTGTTCAAAGTCGCTAACGAAGTTATGTGGTCAATGGGTTTCTCTATTTAATTTGATTGTAAAAAGAAGACAGTGAATGTTTTTTTTTTTTTTTTTTTTTCAGAAAAATACATATTTTTCTTTCTGAGGATGTGCCGCTGTGGTGTTGAGATAATTCTGAGTAAAACATTGCTGACAAATAGGGTGACGCCCCATCTCACTCCGTAAGAATTGAACGTATCACTGCGGAAGTCAGATTCTTTTTAGTAGGAATGAACTGAAACAGCGCGCGGCGACCCATTTACCGTAAACCAGGTAAAACTGACGGGAGAAAGTAACTGTAAATGGATCAACTGTGATAGTAGATGTAGTTTTCATATAAATTTAAACAAAACAAAAAAATCACTGGCAGAACTGGTCTCTTTCATTAATCACTGTTTGTGTTTGTTGTCCAGGATGAAAAAGAGCATTGCATTTTTTTAATCAGACGGATGGTTTCAAAGATGAGAATAACTGTTGAGGTTTGAAAAAATTGGACTTTATTGATCTCACATTGGTTAAATTCACTTTATGCATTTGGCCTATCCCCTTGGGGAGCAGTGGGCTGCCATTGTGTGGCGCCCAGGGGGCAGTGTGGGATTAAGGGTCTTGCCCAGGGACCCAGAGTGGAAGTCTGTGGGGATCAAACCAGGTACTTGCAACCTTCTCAGAGCACAACTGCAGAGCTGTAACCACTATGCTGAAATTCCCCTTTTCTATGGATACCCCCAAACTCCCGCTTTTGAGTATCCATTGAAAGGATTTAACCTACACATTGTTTATGGAGCCATTTGTCTTGGCCTTAAGGTTTTGGGGACCAATATATCCATATCAGATGAAGCTTGATTTTGTGTGTCTGCTTTTAAAAAAAAAATAAAAAATCTATAAATAACTATTTACCTTTGACCAAACTTTTGCCACTTAGAAAATACTATGTTACTAAGTCTTAATAACAAGTGCCAACTCTCTCTTTTTTTTTCTTTTTTTATGGATTTCAGGGACCTCTTTACATGTTTATAATGGAGTAACATTTGCTAACAGTTGCTATTTTCAAACGAACAAAATTTTTCGTCGTAACACTGTTTATGTACGTAACTTTTTGCAGAGGTGACAAGTAGCAAAGTACAAATACTTCGTTACTGTACTTAAGTACACTTTTTAGGTATCTATACTTTACTCCATTACTTATTTTCTTCCTACTTCTGACTTCTACTCATTTCATTTTCACACAAGTATCTGTACTTTCTATTTCTTACATTTTTAAAACAAACGTTACTCTTGGCTTCGTTATGTGCGCCATCCAAGGCAGATCATTGGCGCCATCCACATCTAGCGAATACTAGTGTAATTGGATGAGTAATATAAAACAAAAAATTTTAGGTAAGCTGTTCGTCAAATTTGTGGTGATGCCAAAGAAAATCATCAGAAGCAAGCAGGTGTTCTTTAACTTTAAACTTGAATTGTCTATGCCATGCTACAATGTCAGATTGACGAAAAGATGTCGAATTCTCTGATGGTCGGACACAGGCGAGAGCTTATCTGGAGATGGAGACCAACAAGACCTCCCTCATCCTTGGCCCTATCTCAATTTTTCCAAATAGTCGAAAAATTGAGCTTTCACTTCATATAGTGGCATCTGGCTGTTTTTTTTAATGGTTATTTTATACTTTAAGTAGTTTTTGGAGCACCAACTTTTTCACTTTTACTTGAGTAAAGAGGTCAAGTTGATACTTCAACTTTTACCAGAGTGTTTTTAAACTGCAGTATCTATACTTCTACTTAACTAACAAATGTTTGTACTTTTGATACCATTTACTATTATTCTGCTTACATTAACAGGCTTTGAAACTTAGTTTGCCCAGCCTGTGTGGTCATGCATTAAATCAACCGTTTGCTTTTTTATTTTAGTAATATTCTACCTAAAGGCATCAACTCATACACTGTTTGGTGGATTTTTAAAATGGTAAACCAAACACAGATATTTGGAAACCAGTCCTGGCTAAGAAATACGGACATCACTGCACCACCTCATGAAAACGGCACCCCCCATGATGAAACATGTGGATGGCAGCATCATGATGCGGGGATTGTCTTCTTTTCCTTTAACAAATCTTCCCCTAAACAAACAAATAACATTTAAGCTTGCATTTTTTTCTTCATATAAAACATTTTTAAATCCTGAAATGAAGATCTAGATCATATTCCAATTTTTGATGCCATATGTAGCTCCCACCTGCTCCCTAGCTAATTGATTATCATTGAAAATTCTCATTACGCTGACTACAACTTTCCCTCTTTTCAAAAGTCATCTGAAATGAAGATACTTAATGCCATTTCTACTGCTTCCAGCAGAAACGGCAAATATAAAGCAGAGCGTTCAAATGTATCTAATCACAGTTATCGCTGCAGTATCAGCCTGTGCACTCATAGTTGCAGTCGGATGCTCTGTTTGGTAGGCTATTATATTTCAAGTGTTATGCATCCAAGTCATTTGTTAGGACTTTGGATTGACTTTCCCTGCTCTTGGTGCTCATCCCTATTATAGATTTTCGTCGTTAAGATGCTTTAGCTCATGTAAGTTGTTGGAACATCTAATGACAGAAATGCAATGAGTAGAGAGATATCAGGTTGCCTTATGTAAGCCTTGAATATGTCTTTTAAGTGTCTTATTTATTCTGTTTTCCTTAACAGCGAAAATAAAGGCAGCAAGAAACCTGGAAGATAAAGGCATGATGCTAATTTGTTGTCTTGTTCTGAGCAAATGTCGCCATGATATTGCCCAGCTAGATGCTTAAAAAAAAGTCAGATTTTGTTTAAGTTACAAAATAAGAACAAAAAAGCGACTTTCCTTTTGAATCAAGGTGCGCTACTTTCCTTTTAAGATGTGCAGATCTGAGGCTCATTCATCCTCCAAAGTTATTTTAAGCACCATCAGACTCCTGGTTTCATTTAATTTGTGTGATTTGTGATCTTTGTAGAAAGAGTGATTCTTTGGAAATATGACTGAAGGTTTGTTGAAATCCAGTGGGTGGGATTAGAAAGAAAAACAAAACGAGAACTTCAAAGTTTTAGGATGTTTTGGGTCTGATAAGCGTCGGACTGGCAGTGCTTTTGTGTGGGTGTGTGATAGGGGGACGGGGTCAGCTAGCCTTTTCATCTTTGCTTCTGCCTGTATCGTTCCACCCTGCCATACAAGCTGAAAGGATGACCTGGTGGGGAAAAGGTCACTTGGACTATGGTGCCTTTCAAGAACTGATTGTTTGGGCCCAAACACATGCTTACATAAAGGTGTAATTTGAAGGCAGGAAGGAAAAGTCACACAAATCTTTCTAAATAAGCAGATCTGATCGAAATCCTTAAACTCATGTTTTCTGTCCTCATGTAACTTTGTTGAGTTCTCCTTTAGAAAGGAGACTTGTTTCTGACTCGCTGGTCGCCACTGGTCTAATACATTTTAGGATGATGCTGATGATGATGTCATTGGAGAGCAGCGGGAGGGTGTGGTGGACTGTCGAGGTTTTAGTCGGGCTCTCAGAGTCTCACTGTCGGACTGATACGTCCCTGGAGAGGGTCTCCTTACATCATTACGCCATTAAAAATCTATTATCTCTACAGTGGTTGTGCTTGTATGGATTCTTTAACCAATTAGACTCTTTAATGGAGAGAATGTATGTTTATAGCAGATAGCTGTTCAGATGTCCAGCTTCTTGTGTATCAAATAGAACGAAAAGATGCAGAGGTTTTCTTTGAATGTTTTTCTCTGCAAATGAACAGCTTATAAATTCAAATTTTCATACCAAAAACTATATGTTCTCCCTTTTTTTCCCCTCCTTCTTATATTGACCGTTGTTTTTTTGTCTTATGCCCTTGGCATGCAGTGAGAGCAGATATACGTCGTTCTCAGTCGCCCCTCTGTGCTTGCACCCTCCATAAGCTGTCATGTAAGATTATCCTTTTGGTCCAGGCAGTGCTCTAGGGTTTCAAAAACGAAATGTTAATTTCCCAAACTGGAGGTGGTGCACTATAAATACCTTTAAACCAAAAACATGCTGGGGTAGTGTTCCCTGATCAAAAAATAAAAAATAAAAAATAGGGAGCAGCTTTGCAAAGGTTTTTGGAACAGAAAACAACTCCACTTAGAAGACGACTCCCTGGCCTCTCCGGCAGGTCAGCATGATAATGCTTTTTCAAAACCTGCGTCTTTTTCTGTTCGGTTGTCAAGTCGGCTACGCTGCTTAATTTTATTGAAGTGTTCTTTCACTGTTTTGCACAGGCCCCTGAAGATTACTTGCAATACATAAACACAAAGTAATCGTGAAAGGAGTTGGAACAAATATTAATCCTGCACGTCATAAATCAGACATTTGAGAAATGGCTGTCAGAAAAATTCTTTGTTAAAACAGTTTTAATAGTTTGCAAAAAGCCATGTAGGCAAGACAGCATCTGGGGGAAGGTGGCATTATAGGCTACGTTCTCGCAGCAGCCTGAAGTGACCAAATCCCCCTCCCTTCTTTTTTTTTTGCCTATATGCGACCTGTATCTGATCTTTTCATGGCAGTCTGGACATCATAGATCCGATTTTTTTCAATGCGACCCAGGCTACTTGAATATTTGGTCCAAAATCCAATACGTATCTGATCTTTTCAAATTCGACCTGAGTGTGAACGGCCAGGTCGAATTCATCCGACCCGAACGTCATTA